GTTGCAAGCGACTATGGGGTAAAAGATGGCGAAAGCTGTTTTGCACATGCTGCCCCTCAGCTTCGTCTCGCCTATAGCATTGCAGGCCAACTCAAATCTTTCGGAATAGAGAAGAGGTGAAAGAATATGTACCTCAAAGCACCAACAAAGTTGAATGCTCTCTGAGCACTTCTCAAAACAAATGCCCAACGACGAGGACATTTGTCTTCTTACACTGATCAGGCTCGCGGATTGACGCTCTTTCTCGACTATGCCTTTCATGCCTTTCCTTAACTCCAGTAAATTTGGTGTTTCCACAAACCATCTTCGGCTGCAATGCATCACTCATCCATAAATCACATGTCGAAGGTAGTTGCAGCTAGTACTTGCAACTCTACCACAAAAATACATTAATGCCTGACAAGCCTCTGATTTGTGCAAAGTTGAATAGCAGAAATGTGAAATGGCGTGCGGATTTTCCCTACTTGTCTGTGTCGTTACGATCACATCTGCCTTGGGTGTTTGCTTAAGAATGCTTGCGGTTTCAGATGCTTAGGCAAATAGTCTTACATATACATGCATCAATGTTATTGTATATATATATACATATATATATATATGTACATATGTATATATATATATGTACATATATGTATATATATATGTATATATATATGTATGTATATATATATATGTATGTATATATATATATGTATGTATATATATATGTATATGTGTATATCTATATATATATGTAGATTGCGAGCGGCATAAAATTGAGATAGATTGCATTGTTTGCACATGTTTTTCGCGAAGAGACATGTGATGGCCGACAGTCAGAACGGACTGTTTGAACGTTTACATAGAGAAAGAACTGTTGTGAGTGTGGATTTTTTCATTGAATGTCTAGCCCAAAAGTTTGAAACTCACTGCTCACAACATGCCTTTCCAATAGATACAGATACATATATGTATATATGTATTATGTAAATGATACGTACATAAATATATATATACGTATATATTATACACCTTGAGAGATGTCAACGCATCCGCGATTTCTATTCGGGCTTTCCGTGCACCTCCTCCAGCAACTCAAGAAACTCGTTGAATTTCTTGCCCCTCCTTAAAAATCGCAGAGAGCAAAGTTGTAACAAAATCATTCAAAATTTGACATAAGAGCTACCAATGTCTTGAAAGCAAGACGCTTCAGACACGGAAAAGGTTCTTTTCCAGCAATGACAAAAAACTCAATCACAACATAATCAGACTGCCGCATTACCTCTATTCTTTTCTGCCTGGCATGTTTTTTTCTGGATCAGTGTCCGATTGAAGCACGCAGAAAAATGCCGGCTGTCAATGGAGTACAGGGTGCAGTTTTCCTCTCTGGAGCAAATACTGGCGAGGTTGGAGCAAACGTTCACAGTGCATGTGCAAAGTTGATCTCGCTCAAAACAAACACAGTATAGATTGAAATCATGTCCTTTGCAGAGTACGTTGCATGCATCGGCATCTTGTACCTCAAGCAAAATGATTTCTCCCGCATTACTACGTAGCGCTCACGTGCTAATCTTCTGGCCCATATCAATCCAACGACTGGAGTATGTTTCTTTTATTAGTCCTCAAAGGGTCCTCCGTCGGTGAATGCCGAAAGGTTGTTTTCTCTTGGAGTCAAGGTGGCTACGCGCTTTTGGTGCAGGACAAGTGACAGAATTGACAGCTCGCCAAAGCTATCACCCGCGGTTAGAATTGTTTCCTGAGATCGGCAAAAGCCAGCCTTCTAGCACTGCATAAGTTTCACTGACTTTCGCAAGTCTCTAGGCACCTTTGGCCTATTATGATCCTTCAGAATCCTTCAATCCTTCATACCTTACCTCTAGCTTTTGCTCACAGATGCTCAGTTACCAAGTCACTGGAGGCGCATCAATCATTTGATTCTGAGCATTGTCTGAAGGTGCTTCTGCCTCTTCACCTTCAAGGGAAGGCTCTGAGAGACAAAAAAAGCCACATTTGAAGCATTGGGATGGATATCAACATGTCAATACATGTTAGCACATTGCCAAACACTTGAACATCAATATATATATATGTATAATATATATATATATATATACATACATACATACAAATATATATATATACACACATTATCACGCATAGATGAATATGTACCTACAAAATTCCTCCGGCGCTCTTGCAATCTGCTGCAAGCCCATTCACTCCATGCAAGACCGCCAACATCTGACAACACACCCCTCGAGTTCGCAAGAGAGGCAATTCCATCCATGATGTGCCAGGAACTTGCCATGCCAACAATCACCCCCTTAACTGAACTGCAAAAAAAGAAAACAACCCACTGCTCGAGACAAAGCAGGCTACCCTCCCACCCAAAACAAAAAAAATGACGAATCTGAATCCGCCGGCCTGCCGGCGTGCTTTGTGGATGTTCTTGTGATACATCTTGTGATAACTTCAGCTTCACCTATATATAATTAGATTGTTTTCCTCGACGGATTTTTGTTTTGAATTGCAAGATGAAGATCTACGGATTTTTGCTTTCGCTGCCCTACCCCTCCCTCCTCCCCCCTTCCACCCTCCCACATATACACTTTAGTCTAGTACTCGTCTCGTTTCTTCCGTCCAAGGAACCAGCAGTCATCTTATTTATATCATCATCGTCTCGGTGATCATTGTCGTCGTCGTCGTCATCATCATCATCATCCTCATCATCACCTCATAATCATCACCTTCCAGGCAGAAGTACGTTCTAACCTGCCGCTTTTGTGCCCAACACTTTCCATACCCACCTGCCGCTACTGCTCTTCCTCTGCACTCATGCAGACTCTCACTGCCAAACATGACATCACGCAGTCTATCCCCTTTCTCGAGGATCTGCTGCATGGAAAACAGAATACACTACTGTACAACGTCCTCTACTCGAGGATCCGTCGTATGGATGACAGGTGTACTGCAACATCCCCTACTCGACGATCTGTCGCAAAATCAAATGCCCCGAAACTGTCAATCATTCACCAGTTCAAACATGCACGATGACTAAACAGACGCACTCAAAACACATCACCCCGGACGTTCACCGCACACCATGCACAAGCCGCACCAAACTGTCAAAACTGTCCACCGCAAGACTGACCACAACGACTCCAAAGCGGAAATCCAATACCGAACTCACCATGTCCAGCCGGCCCAATCATTCCGACTTCTTGCCTAAATCCACAAGGGACAAGGAAATGCAACAGGACTAACCGCCAAACAGCCTGGTGGCCAGCGGAATGCCGAAGACTATTAAATATTGAGAAACTTTGTGTTTTTTAGCCAAACTTCATGCGAATTGAGACACCAAACATACTTCTGGATGTCACGTCTCCACCTCCTCCAACACTGCGCCGAGCAATCCCTCCAGCGCCCTGTCGAGGCTGCACTCTGCCACCTTCAGGGTGCAATATCAAAATATGTATGCATTTCTTTCTATCGGTATGCATACATCTGTAAACATATGCAAATGTATCTATATGTATGTATAAATGAATAAGGTGCGTATGTGTATATATGTATACATATAATATATATATATATACATATGTGTGTGTGTCTGTGCACATGAATCTATAGATAGATCACATACAATATTATATAATATATATATATACATGGGTATATTTATGTGTATGTATATATATATATAGTATCTATGCATATACATGCATATGTATGTCTATTTATATATATATATATTACGTGCATGTGTAGATGAAGATATAATTTGTTCCAGGTTCTGGGTCTCCTTCCCACCCGATGGTCATGGAACCCCCCTTTCCCCCCCTGTGGTGTGGGTGGGGGTGGGAGGGGGATTAAATACAATATATTACAAAGAACCATTTGAAAATCAAACAAGGCGAAGGCATAAAAACCCGATACAACGTGGACCTGCGGTTGCCCATCAAGGAGCTGCTCACCGGCAGGTCCTTTCATGTAGCTGATGTAGTTTGAACCAAAGCACATGAAACAAAACAACAGAACCTAGAATGACCGAGCTCGAAATCATGGCATTGGGAAGGCAGCCAGGTGGCAGACAACCAGGCCAAAGAGTTTGCTGCCACCCTTTCTACAGAACATAAATTTGACGACAAGCGGGGCAACAATGAGTGGGTTGATGGTAGGCAAGCTAAGGTTTTGCAGCGTTTCACAAGAGAAAGAAGGTCCAGCTGTTGCTACCTACGCGTCAACAAAATTCTCAAACATGCCCGGTACACTGATTTTGATCACGTTTGGAACCTCAAGGTCCCGGGAAAATGTAATAGGTGCAATCTTTCTATTTGCAAGCATTGGGGAAAAGAAAAAGTTGAACGAATGTTGGCGCAGCCCTGCTTAGTGCAGTGATGTTCAAGCTGTTGTGCATCCCAGTCATTTCATTGTTGGTTTCGGGACCGGTTGGAAACGCACACAAAGCCAAGAGAGAGGGCAGACCAACAACATATTCCAGAAACCCAGCTGGACCAAGCAGTGCCCGAAAGGTTTTTCATAGTGCATTGTAAAGATGCACGCAACAGCTCCATTCAATGGTCAAAACTCAATATATTGTGTTACAATTACAATATGTTCCAATTGTGCTGTACATTACCAAACCTTACAATACACTGCAATAAATTACGATACATTGCAATGCATGACAAGACACTCAAATACATTACTGTACACACTGTACAATACATTACTTATACATTACTTATACATTACTTATACATGTGAATACATGACAATACATTACAATACATCGCAATATATTAGAATGCCTTACAATATGTCGCAATATCTTGGAATATATTACAATACATTACAATGCCTTACAATACCTGACAATAAGCTACAATACATGAAAATACAGATGATACAGTAATATTACATTACATTACAATACGTTGTACAGAACAATACACTACAATGCATTACAATACATTACAATACATTACCATACCTTACAAGACATTACAATACATTACAACACATTACAATACATTACAATACATTACAATACATTACAATACAATACATTACAATACATTACAATACATCGCATTACACATCAGTACATATTGGT